GTCCAGAGGACCTATACAATTTTTTTTTCTTTTTGATTTTTTACCTGGATTACTGAGATGCATCAGGACAATAAATAAGAAAGTTCACAATATATCTTTTAGTTTTATAATATCACCTCCACTGGCCGTAAAGCTTCCCGAAACGGCCTCAAAAAGGCCCACGGACCACCAGTTGGTAATCACAGTTGTCGCTTGTTTTGCAGCTCTGGACACATGTTATTAGTGAGTCATGGAGCAGAAAAGGTTGCAGACCCCTGGTCTCTTTCAGCCTGTGTTTAGCAGAAGACTCATTCAAACCTAATTACCATAAATCAACTATAAGTAGGATTTTAAGGGCATAAGTACCCTTTCTTTATTTGTTATTGAACTGTTTGAGTGTAATAATGCTGGTGTTTAAGGGCGCATCGCTTTGAAACTTTACCGAGGGATGCCTGCAGCAGTGCCGCGGGTTGGTTGTGAGGAGAGCAGCCGAGGCGGTGCTTGTGTTTGACAGGAGGGGTGTCCTCACTCACTCTCTGCCCCGCACTGCTTCACTGCCTCCACTCTGACGGACCCGCCGCCTCCTCCATTTGAAGTTTTTGCTTTGCTCCTCGCCCGACAGCAGGCTCGAACACGGCGGTAGTTGTGCGGCAGCCGCGCCGAGCTCCAGACGGAACGACGGATCGTCGACAGAAAAGGTAAATGACCCACAAACACACAGCAACACGCCCGGACTGGCGTTGGTTGAAAGTGTCACTGCAGGACGTGTTTTCAGCCTCGGGTAAAAACGCCAGTCAAACGCACAGAGGGATAATTTTAGCCCGCAGGTTTTGCGTTTCGTCAGTAGCTCGCTGGAAATAACAGCCGTGAGTTYTGCACATGGTCCTGTGGGAACAACAGAGTAGTTCACTCAGCAGAAACACAAGCATCAGGGAGCAAATCTACTGTGCTCTGCTGCCTTATATCAGACTGATCATAGTTCCCTTTGCGTGTTATTATTACACATAAAACCAGGCTGCTTAACTTACCCTTTATGTAGGTTTTCTGATGACCACAAAGTCTACTTTTTCTGTAAATTGTCTACAGTTTACAACCTAATATGTCACTAGAAAATAGGTGATAAGTGATAAGATATGGCCTCTGATTATGTGTGTTATAGGATATTGTGCGAGACCAGTGGCAACTCAGAAAAATCAACTACACACACACACACACACACACACACACACACACACACACACACAC